ACATGACGAAACAGATCTGCATCTTGCTGGAAAATTTATTAGCCAAAATGTTAAAGAATCTTTTTTGACAGAGATGTTTATATTCATCTATATTAGTTGTAATTCTCCTCTCTATAAAAGTATGTATCCTAAGTACTAAAATTGGGGAAATAAATCTGCCTCTGCTTTCTAATATGTAAAAGCCATAAACACAATACTGGAAATAATCTCCTTCAGCTCAAAGAATATTTCTTCTTTGAAGTCTTGAGCAATGATAAATAGGGTAATTTGTGGACTTTATCACCAAATTCTAAGGATAGACTTTTATCAATAATTCTCAGCTGTCCATCCTGCTTCGTATTTTCTATAATCTTTATTGCTTTTATCCAGATCCTTCAAGGTCAGGGAAAGAATAGTCTATTTATAATAGTTTCATGTACTTCTCACAAAGTTTTCATTATCTACAGAGAAAATAAGTATTTTTACAATTGAGAAGAAATCTGCAGCCTATTCATAATATTTTATTTCAATTTAAAATCAAAATTTCAATTAGGACAACATAGAACTTGACTATGACAAGTACTTTGCATTAAAAAGACTGTTTATATAAATACTCAATTCGGAATAGGCATTTCATTTGAAAAAATACCTGATCATATTTGAACATGCAACTTGACTATGACAAGTGCTTTAATTTTAAAAGTTTTAATAATTTTATTAAAATTAAAATTAAATTTTATTAGAATTAAAAGTTTATAATTTTATTTACAAATAAAAACCTAATTCAGGATAGGCATTTCATTTTTTAAAATACCTGGTCATATTTTTAAGAAAGATTTTAGATTTAAGGGACTACACACAAGCTAGATCATTGCCTTCTATAAACTGGTTAACTTTTAAAAGGAAAAGGGTACTCAAACGGATATTTTGTATCCATGTTCATTGCAGCATTATTCACAACAGCCAATAGGTAGAATCCACTCACTCAAACGTCCACCAATGGTTGAAAGGATAAACAAAATGTATCGCATACATAAGATGGAATATTCAGCTTTAAAAAGAAAGTAAATTTACACATGCTACCACATGGATGAACCTTGAAGACACTGTGCTAAGTGAAATAAGCCAGTCACAAAATGACAACTATCATATGATTCCACTGATATGAGGTACCTAGAGTAGTCAAATTCACAGCAACACAAAGTAGAATGGTGTTTGCCAGGGCTTGGAGGAGGAAGAATGTGGAGTTAGTGTTTAATGGATAAGGAGTTTCAGTTGGGGAAGATGAAAAAAGTTCTGGAGATGGATGGTGGTGATGACGGTACAATAATGTGAATGTGCTTAAGGCCACAGAACTATACATTTAAACACGGTTAAAATGGTAAATCTTATGTTACATATATTTCTGCACAATAAAAAAAAGATGTAATTGAGGAACATTCTGAAAATTAAACAATAGTCTATCTAATCACAGATGAATCAGATATCCTAATTTTTAAAAAGATGCCTATACCTAGAATGTCTTTATTGTAACTGTTTATTTTTTGTTTTGTTTTCTCTCTCCTTTATGCCCCTATCCCCTAAGTTCATTTAACTCTATTTATTCATTTTGTGAGTTACGGGTTTTAAGGTGGGATGACCAGATTCTAAGAATCACCAATTTTTATGTTCAAAAAAATTGTATTCTTCAAGTTTAGTCCATGTAGCCAAAGAATACAATTTCCTATCTACAGTAGTATTGTTTTGTAATAAGCTTTATCCTTTAATACAATATTAATTCAAGTCAATTTTCTTCTGTGTGGTCTATACAACTCTGAGTTATATACTCTCCATAATACTATCTATGGATTTTCTGGAATTTTAAATAGCTTTGCGAAATTTCAGTCTTCACTCCTAACTAGAATTTTTGAAGGATTACTGATCTATGATTTATAAAATTTATAGTAACTTGCTTTCAAGTTCATTATTTTCATGACAAAGCTGCAAAACATAAATTATCAGAAAATTTTGTCTCATCTTAAATGTATTGGTTAGGGGATGGACTTTGTAGACACATGCTCTGGGTTTGAATCCTGGATCTATCATGTAACAGATGTGTGAGTGGACAAATTATTGAAAATACCTAATTCTCAGTTTCTTCACTCTGAAAATGTAGATATTAGTACTTAAGAGTTGTTACAAAGATTATGCACGTAAAGCTCCTCAACAACGTCTGATGTAGTAAATTCTTAATAAATGGTAGTTGTTAACAAAAATAATCATAATAACATAACATATAAGAATGATAAGCACACTACTGGACAGAAAAATATTATATTCCAACTTTTAAAAAATGACTCCTTACAATTTTTGATGCTAAAGTGAATCCAGGAAAAAAGATTGTTATTTTGTAAGACTCATTTTCTTTTGTTCATCTTTTCCAAATAGTGTGATTGTTAATATCCTGTTAAACAAAAGAAATTAACCCAAACAAAAATGAGAAGTAAAACCAGGTATGTGCATTTGTGTAAGTAAATACACACACACACACACACACACACACACATATACAACCCTCTTTAATGTGCTATATACAATTTGAGGAAATTGTATAGAAACATGAGAAAAAAGTTGAAAAGTAAACAGAAGGGCCTATAGATTGCAATGAGGGTAAAAAGGTATACAAATGTAGGCAAATTTCCAAGTTCAACTATTTGAACAATTCATTCAGAATCACACTATTATCAGAAAATTATACTGTAATTCTTTTGGTTATTACCCTAGGATATAAATGGATAAGAACAGAAAAGTTGGATGTTTTCACCCCTTGCCAACATAGGCAAAAGAATATTTTTCTTTAAATAAAACCCAATTGCTACCACAGTTACTACTATGCAAGATTTCTAAGGTATATAATGTTTGATAATGGGATTTCTGATACAATTTCACTAAAAAGCACAAAGGGTTTCTATACTACCAACTCTTACTACTCAAATATAAAGTAATATTCTGTTTTGAAAACAGACTTGTGTTTCCAAAAACATGTTCCTTTGAACACTCAGACTTTGGGGTGAGAGGATAATAGGGTCCTATAGTCAAAGAAGCCTGGAATCTGCTACATTCTATTTCTCTCTTTTAGATATACGTAACACTATTCACATAAAAGGTTATGAGAAGTCCTACAGTGAGCAGAGCTGTTGACATTTTTTAACCAGTGTTTCCAAAACTTATTTGGTCACATAATTATTTTCTTCAGGTAGTGCAAAGGAACCAGCGTTCCTCATAACAACTTATTTTGGGAAATGTACAATAAATTGCCATTGATTAGTATTAAATGTGCAATTTAATATGTACCTATCCTAAAAAGGTAACCACTGGCAGAATTTGCTGAAGTCCCAAAAATGAGCCTGGTTATTTTTTTTTTTTTTTTTTTGGGAGACGGAGTTTCGCTCTTAGTTACCCAGGCTGGAGTGCAATGGTGCAATCTCGGCTCACCGCAACCTCCGCCTCCTGGGTTCAGGCAATTCTCCTGCCTCAGCCTCCTGAGTAGCTGGGATTACAGGCACGCGCCACCATGCCCAGCTAATTTCTTGTATTTTTAGTAGAGACGGGGTTTCACCATGTTGACCAGGATGGTCTCGATCTCTTGACCTCGTGATCCACCCGCCTTGGCCTCCCAAAGTGCTGGGATTACAGGCTTGAGCCACCGCGCCCGGCCGCCTGTTGTATTTTATGTCAGAAAAAAAAAAAAAAACTAACATGCCTAGACTAGTACTTATATTATCTTTAACAATTTGTATTTATTTCCAGAATATGTGTTTCAACCCTTACAGCCTGTATGTTATTTAATCAAGCCCAAACACCCAGTTTCTGATACCTGTGGAAAGCTGAAAAATGAATATGATCTTCCAAGCCTTTGCTTTTCTTTCTGGGCTTCACTGTAAGTGGAGAAAACCCTGCAGCTGTGAGCTACTGCATACCTTCAAATATGGGAAAAATATGGGAATACTAAACTCAGTTACAACATTTTATTCACTGGTGCTATGAGCCTGCATTTATGCAGTTCTACAGTAAAATAATGAATGATCCACATTAATCCTGAAATAAAACAGTGATTATTACTTCATTCTCCTAACAACTCTATTAAATATATAGAACAAAATACTGTAACTACTATTTTACATATGGAGGTTAAGCAACTTGCCCCAAGTACCAATAGTCAGCAGGGAGCAATTTCTTGTTGGACAGACACTGTGCATATTACAACTATAGAAACTGTATCAGATAATCACCCTAAAATGTGAACAAAAACAGGAAATTCCTTTGTTAATAGCTTATTATTTAAGGAATTTTCTTCTTTGAAAAAATTTTAGATCACAATTTGCTTGAAATCTAAACTTGAACCAAAAAAATCATATCGTGTGCTAGATAGCTTTTTGTGAATTCAGAAATTAAGAACAAAGTTTTAAACAACTGTAATGAGGAATTACTTTGTCCTTGTGTTAGATAAAAGAAAATAAGCAAGCTACAATTAATTCTAGGTGATGTATGAATGTGAATGATTATATTGCTAGGCTGTGGAATCACCTTCTTCCTAGGCCCTCCTTTCAATTTCAGAAGTACTTAAAAATGTAACAAAATGTGTAAGATGAAAGAGACAACAGTTATTTTAAAAAAACATAACAGGGAAGAAATAATGACTCTTATTATAGAAATCACATATTTTGGTAACCCATGGACATTTAGTCATTGGTTTTCAAGTTATACAAAGTAAGCTGGCCATTAGAAGAAAAAAAAAACACTTCAAAACATCGATTTCAGAATACATTAATCACAGTATTTTATATTATGATAATATATATCAGTAACATTTTACCAAAGAGGAATTAAATGGGCAAAGACAAGGAAAAAGCTGACATGAAAGGAATCAAGAACATTGACAACTCAGTAAAGGAAAAGGTGTTAAAGTATCAGATTCAAGTTTCATTAAGTTTTTGGTTTTTTTAAATGTAAAAGCAGAGGTAACAAAAATTGGTTTTCACCTGGTAAGTGTGTACTCCCTGAGTCCTGAATGCAAATTCATGGCAGAAAAAGTACCTATGCATCCACGTAATCTTTTGTCTCGACCAATCTTCCATGTTACAAACAGTGGGCTGTAATGGAAGATAAAAATAGGGTAAATCAATCAATTCAATTCAAGCAAGTATTTATTGAGTGTTGACTGTCTGCTAGGTTAGGTGCCTGAGATATAAAGACCAAAAGACAGGCCTTCAAGGGGTTCAGAGGCTACCCCAATAGGACTACATTTAGCAAAAATTATATTATACTACAGTATATTGAGTGTATCCTATATGTTAGGCATCTCAATAAGTGTTTTAAACAAACTAATTATGTTAATCTTCATCAACACCTCTAGGAGGCTGATACTAACATTCTATTTACAGATGAGGGAGTCTCACAGTTGATACATAATGAAGTAGGCACTCAAACGTGGGCAATCTTAACTATAGAGCCTTAACCATCATGGCTAACTGAGCAATTCCAAATTTAAACCTCAAGTTACTGACTTATTTATAAGTCTAATTTGGAAAATCAGGGGGAAAAAACAATGATTTTCATAAATACTTCCTGAAAATATCGGGGCTATGTACTGTGAAAGGTGCTACAAGGATGCCTAAAACATAGTCAATGCTCTTTAGGGGCCAGTAAAAGAGGCAGGCATAATGAATACACAGCTAACTAATACAAGGAAAAAGGAAATAGGTACTATAAACCATGTCCAAATGCCATAATTTAAGCTACTGAGATAGAAGAAAACTTCATCAAGCTTGACATTCTTTAGCTTGACCTAGAAAAATCAGTAGGGTTCAGAGAGATGAAGGGCAACAGCAGACATTAAAAAAATAATACCGTGAAACCAGAAAAATTATTTTAATTTTTATATAAAAGTATTACCTACAAATACAATCTCTCAAGCATCAAAGAACGAAGTGTCAATTATAATAAAATATCATCAAGAATAATGTGAATTTAGATGAAGTTTAATATAGTAGATGTTTGGATTCTGCTGCAAACTACTGACAGCTTTAAGTAATGGTTAAGTCTAAATACAATTATGTTCTAATTAGAGTAACTTTGTATGCCAGTTTTTATGAAATAATTTACCCATTTTAGGACATTTTGTAAAAAGATAAGTATCTTACAATTGGGGATGGTCTATGGTAATATGAGTATTCACAGTAATACTGGAATTATACATTTCTGTTTTCTAAAAATTTAAATTTTAAGGGGATATACCATATGTCATTTTTCCTCTAATACACTGGTGAGTTTAAGAATATTCTTTCTTTAAAATACTCTTTAGTGAGTCATCAGCAGATGGATGAAAAGATATCCCATTCAAGTACTTCAATCACCCACCTAAAACATTTAAATTATGCTGAGCTCTGAAAACCACAATGGCAGATAGATTCCCAAATAAATAATATATACAAACCAGGGTGAAGTACTAAGAGTTACCATCTTCCAAGATCCAAATGTCCAGTGGCATTCAAAAAGACGACTAAAGTATTAGGTCAAGTTACTGTCAACATTAGCATTCAATTGAAAGATGACCTACACTAACGATACTAAAATATCAAACAAAAGGTAAACGCCAGGTTTTCTGCTTACTATATCATATGTACTAAACCTCTTATAATTTGGTTCTAATGCTCCATTTGGAAATTTTTCTCTAACTGTTCTTGATCAGGAAGACAAGAATTAGATGGAATTACTTTCTCACCAATTCTTTCATTACTCATATAAATATCAGTATCTTAAAATTAAAACCTTATCTTTAAGGATGAAATTCACCTCTTCATTTTTCAGTTTCCAATATGGTATAATCAACATCAGCAACTTTTTTTTTTTTTTTTTTTTTTTTTTGAGCCGGAGTCTCACTCTTGCCTAGGCTGGAGTGCAGTAGCATGATCTCGGCTCACTGTAACTGCCGCCTCCTGGGTTCAAGCGATTCTCCTGCCTCAGCCTCCTGAGTAGCTAGGCTCACAGGCACGTGCCACCATGCCCAGCTAATTTTAGTATTTTTAGTAGAGACGAGGTTTCACCATGTTGGTCAGACTGATCTCGAACTCCTGATCTTGTGATCCGCCCGCCTGGGCCTCAAAGATGCTGGGATTACAGGTGTGAGCCACCACCCGTGGCCTGTCTCTTCTTTTAAAAAAAAAAAAAAAAAAAAAAAAAAAAAAAAAACTTTATTTTTTGATTATAAAAGTAGCATATGATCATAAATTAAGAAATCAGAAATATAGAAATATATCAATCCTCTCCCATAACAATGGCTCTACAATCTATGTAAGACAGGTCTTTTGGCAGCTTCAGAATGAAGTGAGTCTCACTGTAATATAGATAATAGCATGTTTTTAAAATACATGATAGTTTCTCAGTAACACAGAACTACACTGTATATTCTATTCCTCAATGACTTCCATGAGAAACCTAAAAGTGTGAGTGAATTCATTTCCTATCAAAAACACTAGAAATGAAAGTCATTTAAAAGTATTTTACCTTCTACTTTCTTATTTATCCCAGGAAATACATACATACACCATTCTTACTATAATATAACCCTATCTGCTCAAGTAAACATTCAAAACTTAAAGTATAAATAGAAAAACAACACAAACTAAACACTATACTATGAAGTATGTTGCAGGGCACTCAAACATATGATGGGAGAAATTATTTTTTAATACTTTCTTATAATGCCATGCTATCACTGATGAGGGAATCATTAATCCAGAGCTTAGGGTACTGGAGGACAAGCTGCATTTTGCAAGGCAGCCTGAGGAGCAAAGATGCTCCAAAACAAGCAAGGGCACGGACATGTAAAAGTACACAGCACATTCAGGAAACAGGAAGTAGTCTGATAGTCTTGATAACTTGCTATGGGCTCTTTCAGATTTAACACTTCTTTGAATTTGAAGTACTGTGGAATATGTCTTCTCAAGAGCCCTCTTAAGACGTATAGCAGATACAGAATAATCTATACTCTCCCTATCCTTACCTGCCCCAGGCAACATCCACTTTGGGAGTTGGGATTGCAGGGAAGTATCTGTGTCAAAGATGGGAGGGAGTGCTACTCGACAACCTCACTGTGTTTAGGACAGATGCCTGAAGATGGAAGAAATCAGACTTTTAGTAGACAGAATAAAACGATTCATTAAAAATCTGGGACTCTAATTTCTTATTTACAAATGCTCTAATATCTTTTATAAAGTACATGTGTATGGAATTAGAAACAACTAAAATACCTAAAAGCAACATTTAATGGAGGAAAAAACTCGAGAAGTTAAGCACTTTAAAGTAGACAAACATAATAAACATCACTGAGCACAAGAGATTGCATCTTGTGTGTGATAACCACTTTGTACAGGGCAATGACTATGAGAACATTCAATATATATTATATAAAAATAGGAACACATTTTTTTTTCATGTAACACAGAGCGAAGGAATAGGCAATTTCATTCATAAATGTGCTATGAAAACATGTATGAATTCCCAAAAAGACCTAAGACATCAGCATAATCGGAGGCAGATCAAAGTAGAAAAAGGGTTTTGGGCTGGTTGAGAGGAACTGCTCAATGAGAAGAAAATACAGAAAACAGTTCATAGTAAGACAAAGATTGACTATTTTGGGAAAATGCTTTTGCCATATGGTTTGAGGCCACCTACATACACTGAAAAAATACTACAAACTAGAAGAGGGCTCAAAATGAGATGAAAAATTAACAGAAATGTTTATCTGAAGGTAACCAGACAAAGCTTTTTAAGTAATTGTCCTACTTTCAAACATTTTGTACCACTAAGTTCTGAGAAACCTTTGGAGAAAAGCACTCCATTTTTTCATGTCTGTAGAAAGAAACAGGAAGTAACCATTTATTCTAGGTGAATCCTCCCTGCCAACTAACAGCCAATACTATCAGGTCAACAGTAGCTCTAAAGGAAATGTAGTTGCATAAAATCAGCAAAAGTATGAAAAACAATGTGAATCTGAACAGAACACTCCCCATCTATTGATGTGAGACAGAACAATTTAGAAATATGTTTGCAGGCGCAGAATACAATTAGGTGATACAATGAAAAAGGTGTTATTTACTTAATAATATTTTATCTTAAACCCTATCTCTCCTACCATATCTAGGCAAAATAGAGGTTACAAAAAAGTCTTAGTCTACTGCAAGCCTCCACTCTGCCAATTTGCTCTTCTTTAGAATAAGATTCTTTAGAATGAGATTTAAAGGATGCAACATTAACAAAATAACATCAATCTCTACCAATGCAATAATAATTAATAGAAGGGGATGCTCAGCAAGGTTATTTATATTGGAAGGGGGATATAGGAAAAGAGAAGCCCTGTAAGTTGTTCTGTTCTTCTGCCATGGATAATGATTATTTCTCAACTGTATTCAGGTTTCTCAGCAATCTAGCTCAAAATACAACTATATTCCTCATAACATCCAGCTAAAAATACAATAATTCCCCAGGATCTAGCAAGTTAGAGAAATACAGAAATGATGGCGTCTTCTTTCCACCACTAGGTAAAAATGTTTCACTTCCTATTTCAACAAAAAGAAGCTTTATATTTCATTTCTAAATCATATAAACTACAGATTCAATTCATAAAAACATACCTAATATGGTTAAATCATGTAATAGAGCTGCCATAATAAAATACTATAGACTAGGTGGCATAAACCACATAAATTTATTTCCTAACTCTTATGGAGGCTAGAAAACCCAAGATTAAGGTACTGGCAGAGTTCAGTTACTGATAAAGGCTCTCTTCCTTTACTAGGCTTTAAGGCTGCTATACGGCCACTTTGTACTCACATAGCCTTTCCTCTGAGTGTGTGCAGGGAGAGGGACAGCACGAGTTCTCCAAGTGCCTCTTAGAAGTACACTAATCCTATTGGATCAGGGCTCCATTTTCATGACTTCATTTAACCTTAATTAATTTCTCATAGGCCCTATCAAATACAGTCACATTAGGGGTTAGGGCTTGGACATAGGAATGTAGAGGTTGGCAGGGGTGGGGGTGGTAGTGGTGGTTACAATTCAGTCCATAACAAATCCCTAACCCAAACTTTAG